TTGCTGTTTAATGCCGGTCTCTGGGCTCTGCTCCTGCCATCTCTCATGCTAGTCTCTGGGCTCTGCTCCTGTCATCTCTCATGCCGTATGATGGGGTCTCTTTGCCAAGGTCTTGGGTCAAGGACGCACTCCACTGCTGTTTCCACATTTTAATTATCTGTCAGAGTAGCACCCCACTCTCTTGGTACCATATTCTGTTCTGGTTATCTAGTGCCGCTCTGACAAGAATATACCACAAATGGGATGGCTTGAACAAACAGGAGTCTGTCTATTCTCACAGTTTGGAGGCTTTAAGTCCAAGGTCAAAGTGCCAAGCTCTAGGGGCTGGGTGAAAGCCCTTCGACCTTGGGCTTCAGCTTTGCCTCTTGCTCCTGGCCCACTGAAGCTAGAGGTATCTCTTTACTCAGGCAGCTACTGGCTGCTGAGGCTGACAAGCCTAAGGTCGACAAATAAAATGGCACAGTCTCGATGTTACCAAACCACACGGCAGGCCATTCATTCAAGTCCATTGTAAGTCCCAAGGTCGGGCAGAGCATGGCAGGCTGCTGAATGACAACATGGCTACATGCAGGGTCCAAGCATGCCATAAGCTAGAGACCATTCCCAAAGCTTTCTTATATACAGGAAGCAGTCCATATTCCTAAAGCAGCTACTCAGCTGTTTGTAGTAGGTCCCACCATGGAGGTGATTGCCAGTCTCATCATGGGGAATAACTACCACCAGCTGCCCAGCCACTCAACCAGGCCCAGCCAAGTTGACACACAAATACAACCACTACAGGGATCCTGGCACAGATGTATATGAGGGAACAGGAAAATACAATTTATTTTAGTGTCAATTTTGCAGGAGACTTCCATCTCACTATAAAGCAAGGGATACTTATGGGATAGATCTACTAATACTCTTTTGTACTAATCAAGCACTTGAATAAACACAACCTGCCCTCCTATAGTGGCCTGGCTCAGGCATGTATTTTACATGCTGGCAGATTAACTGGCAGTATATCACTAGAGTACTCATAATTAAGAGTAATATAAATGCATATTTTGTTATACTTTTTGAAGTTTGATTCTCTTCCTAGGGCTTGACATTGATTTTGTATTGCTAGTCCTGAAGCTATCTGAATTGGCCTCACAATAACTAATCACAACTAACATTCTGTCCTGTAGTTTGCATTGGTGAGCACACAGGAAGGGTTTTCTGCTCTGATCCCTTTGCTGTCCCTGTCCTCAAACACTCCTCTGGGCTTCTGAAACCCTAACACTTGTATTTTCTTTCACATGGGACACCTTTTTTCTTCTTCACATCTCACACTCATGACAATAACCTTCATGGATACATCTGCCTTCTCTGCCTCCTTCAACACTTAGGAGATTCCACGATTTTCCATACTTCGAAGTCTTCAAATTGCCACCTGAAGCCATACACCTTCAACTTAGTGATGCCAGCTGACACATGGGGATAGGGGAAGCCGTCTCATTGTAAGTGAAATTGTAAACCAGAAAGGGATGCAACCAGCACATACCAAGACCTTCAAAGGACTGATTCTTAAAAGTCAAGGGAGGCTGAGAAGGTATCTTAATTACCTCATGCTGCTGTGACAGAAAGACCACAAGCGGGTGGCTTTAACAATTTGTGTTCTCAGTTTAGGAGGCTAGAAGTCCGGACTCAGGGTATCAGCTCTAGGGGAAGACTTTCTCTCTGCTGGCTCTGGGGGAAGGTCCTTGTCTCTTTAGCTTCTATTCCTTGGTTTCTGAGTGGTCTTCATGTGGCACGGGATCGATCTATCCCCATTTCTGCTTTTCTGCTGCTTCCTTCTCCTAATCTGCTTTTAGTTCTGAAGTCATATGGCCTCTTAACATAACAAAGGAAACTCATTCCCAGACAGGATTAGAACCCCAGGTATAGGGTTTACGATTTACAACACTTATTTCTGGGGGGCACATTTGTCAAAAAACAAAACAAAAAACCAGACCCACTACCTTCAAGTTGATTCCAACTCCTAGCAATCCTGTAGGACAGAGTAGAGCTGCCCCATAGGGTTTGCAAGGCTGTAAATCTTTATGGAAGCAGACTGCCTCATCTTTTTCCCATGAAGCAGCTGATGGGTTTGAACCACCGACCTTTTGGTTAGCAGCCCAATGTTTGACCACTGCACCAGAGCTCCTTACACTCCTGTCAGTCCAGGCTAAAAACTGCAAGGGAACAGTACTCCTCCTAGGAGCACACAGCCTTTTGGTGGGAATGTAGCAGTGCACTTCTTCTGCAGGCATGTCATGATTCAGGACAGTGTTGCTCACTTGAGATGGCTTATACGAAAGACAGCATTCTCAACTCTGAGGCAGCTCAATTACCACTAATACAAGGTGCTGTGATTGATAGTCACATTCAAGCAGGAATCTGAAGTTGTAAATTATTTTCCCTGGTTTCCATAAAATGACTTTACAAGCAACAATTTCAAATTATTAAATACAGAGTAGCCCATCAATCAATAAATCACAAAATTATTCAGAGTAGGTGAAGGTCACAACTGTTAATGGGAAAATGACCACATGGGAAGCAAAGAAGGACTGCGGGGAGGAAATTACTTCTGTGAGAGTGGTCAAGGAGTTGAAAAATTTCTTATAGGGCATTTCAATTGCATTTTGCTCCCAATTTACCCATACTGTAAAATACATCCTGTGTTTCAAAGGACATTTTAATGGGGTTAAACCTAGCTGCTATTAAAACTAAACCAAGAATGTTTAATAGCTTGAAAGCAATCAGACTCTCTTATACAGCATGAGAAACCCTAATGGTCTTTCCGCTCAACAGGTGCTTTTCCTCTTTGTGGTCAGTCACTGGGACCCAGGTTCCCTCCTCCTGGCTGTTCCAGTAGTCCATGTCATGCTAGGACAGACAGTAGGGAGGACCACCCACTGTTTCACCCCTATACTGCATCTTTTCACAGACCACTAATGAGAATGTCACAAGGCCTCCTCAGTGTCAACCATGGGTGGGGCAAGAACATCACAAGGCCCTCCTCAATGTTAACCCTGGTGGGGATGGTCATACTCAGCAAACCATCTAAACCAGGGAGGAGGGCACAGCCTTCACTGGCTAGCTGCCTGCCCTACAAACAGGGTAACAAATGTGCTAAATACTTCCCCCCATTCCTACTCTTCTACAGCAAAGATGAGACACAGAAGTTCAGAAATCCCATACCCTGCACAAGAGAGGGCCCATGTCACTTCCTACCCAGAGCCATCTGTCCTCAAGTTCTCACTCCTCAGGCTGGGTAATAAGTACAAAGGCTGGCAGTCTCACAAGTATAAAACTCAGGGCAGAATCCACTCTCTCCCCTTGGCTCTCAAACATTTGGGAAAGAATTATAGTTTAGGGACATAGTTTGAGACTTCTTTAAAAATATTTTCAAAATATATTTATTTTCTTTATGTGTTTTGCAGAATTTCCAAGGTAAACATGACCTTTATATGCAGTAAAGTAGAGTTAAGAATTGTTATCAAATTAATCACAAGAATGATCAAATTCTGGCAATGGAAAATAAACTTGCTTATCAAAACTAAAGAGCTGAAGTGAAGATTTTTCTTTACAAAGGTTTCCAACATCTAACCCTGAGCCCCCTCAGCTGACTCAAACCACAGTAATATACAAAAATACAACATAGAAAACAGCAGCTTTACAATCCCCAAGATTGTTACAGTTCATATCAATAAACCTGCAGCTACTACAAGTTTGTACTATGTGTTGACTTCAATGGTTCAGCTTTGAAGTTTGCTTAAGGGTAAATTTCCCTGGAGCTTTTTTTTTTTTTTCCTTTTATGATCTGGTTGAAAATTTGCAGAGCAAATTCACTTTCCATACAGCAGTTCACATATGCTTTTGTCTCATGGCATTGACTACAATTTACCCCAATGCAACAGCTTCCCTCCCACTTCCTCCTGATAGTTACCTCTTCCCTGTGTCCATCCCTCCGTGTGCTCCTGCCCCCCTCAGCTGTCTCCCTGTGCATAAACAGCCCTTCTTTCTCCCATGATTGTTCTCTCCAAGGAGTGTATTTCAGGTAAATGTTCAACTCATATGCCTGTCTTTTGTTTGGCTGGAAGTCACAGGTATGGGTTCAATTCCAGACGTGAAAGGCAGCTAGGGGCCATAGTCTCAGTGGTTCCATCAGGCTCTATCAAATCAGCAAACTTGGTCCTCCCCCCTTTTTTTCCAAATGAATTTGAGTTTTGTTCCACATTGTTTTCCCTCTCTATCCAGGATCTCCTACATAGATCTCCCTCCAAGTGGTTGACAGTGGTAGCCAGGCACCATCTAGTTCTTCTGGTCTCACAGTTGTATAGGCTGCAGATTGCATGGTATACCAGTCGCTAGGCTAATTGTTTCCATGAATCTTTGGTTTTCTTCATTCTTCTTTGCTCTGGATGAGGAGAGACCCATCATTGCATCTAGATGGCTGCTTGCAAGCTTTTAAGATCCCAGTCGCTACTCACCAAAGTAGGAGTGGAATAATGTTTTGTGCAGTATGTTATGCCAATTGAGCTTGATGTCCCCTGTGACTATGGTCCCAAGCCTGCAGGTTCAACTACTCGGTCCCTCTGGGTAGCTGGCTGTGACCAAGCTACAACCTTGTGCCTTGTCAGCTCTACCATACACCTGGGAATTCTTACAGATCATACAAATACACTTATAGGACCACTGTTTGCTAACCCTATACATGGTCTTAGGTATACTCCCCACTTCACAGACATACTTAATAGTTCAGCCTGTCCACCCATCTATCCACCCATCTACCCATGTTTCCCTTCACTGACAACGCAGTATGTGCAAAAGGGTTCATCTTTGTTGTCTGTACCTCCCATGTACCCCTCTATGTCTTCTTTTTCCTCAATGCCACCATGTTGGAGCTAAATTTTTAATGAATCTTACAATTTGCAAAATTGCCAAGTTATTAATGACATTATATATGAAAGAAATTATCTTGTGCACTTCATTATCTACATTTCTGCATCATCGTCGTCATCATCGTCATCATCTTTGGCTCTGAAATGCATTTTTCTGAATTCTCGTCTGCTCATGGAAGGACAAGCTGAAGATGCCGGTGGAAGGTCCTTGTGGGGGAGAAAATACTGACTTCAGTGATGGAAAATGACACTACATCTATATATGCATTTGCAATTCACCAAGACCAGCTCTGGACCCTGTAGACTGGCCCTCCCCTTTGTTGTTGTTAGCTGCTGTCAACTGCGACCATGCTAACCTCAAGGTTTGTCTGGCCCTCCCTCTCAGACACCCAGAAAAAACTGAGTTGCGGTGCCAGTTCTCTGGATCAGGGTTCATTCCCTATTGGGTTGAGTGAGTAAGAAAAAGAAGGGAAAACAGAGTGACAAATTAAAAAGAGCAACAGTGAGCAGGGTGTAAATATTTACAAAATTACAAACACGACTTCAGTAACTCTGCAGCATGAGGTCCAGCCCTACACGCCAACACATGACCACCCACATCCCAGGGCTGGGGACACGACTCCACCCACTAACATAAGTCTCCCGATAGTGATTATCAGCAGGCAGTGTACAACTAGCAGGGAGTATTCCAACTAGCAGTACTTTCACCTGCTTCTCTGGGGTTGAAATTATGATTGTTAGTGTTTTCTGATTTATCTTTTATTGAAGTAATATTTGCATTGGTCGTTTAGGAGTACATGGTATTAGCCTATGGTTTGCTGATGGAAGCAGGATGCTGCTGATCTTACCTGCATGAGCTCAACGTTCCCGAAGAACCGGCTCACGGGCATTGGCTGGTTGCTGTCGTCATCAAGGAAGACACTGTTGTCCATCTGAAGTGGTGGCTTCTGTGCCTCCTTGGCTTCTAGCACTGACTCATCCCAGGCTGTGGAGCTACTGTTAGATCCTTCTGCTTCAGAAGCAGTGGTGTGCTTTGGTGGGGACAGGCCATCGTCAGTCTGCGTGGGACAGTCGTCCCTCAGGATGCCACAGTGGCCGAGAGGGGGGCCTTCACCCTCTTGATGTGCAGAAACACCGGCTTCATTGTCTGGGGGCACCGCATGGTGTCCGTCCAGCTCCAGAGATTTGTTTGCACAAGGGGTCTTGGGTGCAATTTTTGGCAAGGAAGCACTCTTAGTGATGAACTTCTGCAACTCTGATTTCACAAGATTATCTTTATTGTACTTGAACTTCTTGGAAATACGCCTGTCAGTGGCTTTGTGTGATGAGGAAGTCTGTCAAAAAAGAAAGGTCTAAGGGAAAAGCAGACATAGCTAGGATTACGAAAAGGATGGCAAACAAAAGCCCCCTGAGGTGAACGTGTCCTCTTACAATGTAAACAGTGTAAATGCTGCAGCTGGAGCCATTCAGTCAGGGATGTTTCACTGTTCTGTCACCTCCTTCCGTGGGAAAGTGGGGACATAACTAGACATGCACTGCCACACCAGTCAGTTTTTCCTAGGGGTGCTGCAGCTCCTGAGGCAAATCCAGAAGCATGAGCTTATGTATTTACATCATCCAGTTTTCATTTATTCTCACAAGATTGTAAGCTTCATGAAGGCAGAGATTTTTGTTTCATTCACTGACCAGTGCCTGGGATGTAGCAGGTGCTGAACAAGTATTTTTAAATTGGATTCAACAAAATCCTGCTGAGCACTGTAGTGGGTGCTGTGCTGTTGCTGGTGCACAGCCATTCCTATTTGCACCAGGGCCTTGAACTCAACTAAGCAGACCTACCTATGAGCAAACCAGTCATCCTAGGAACAAGAACTCCTTAGAAAGAACAGTTGCATTATACCAAACTGTAGACCACAGAAGCTTCCTTTTCTTGGCCCATTTTTCCTCTCTTTACTCAGAGGAACACACCAGAAGTAGAGAAATGAGCAAAGGTACATGTCAGAGCCTGGGTCTGAGGCATGCACACTGACACATGTACAGAGTGGATGGCAAATCCCTGGACTGAAGAACTTATCTTTCTTAGAAGATAATTACAGTACTGTTAGCATTTCCTCTAAAATATCCCTTTCCCCCCAGGTATATAAGCAACACTCAATATTTTTTCTGATGTAAATATTTGGGTGACATTTTATAAAAATGGACATGTGAGTCAAGATCTTGACATTTCCAGCAATGACAAAGCCTTACCAGACATAAAACCTTGGCTGATTTGGGGACATCCACTTCCTGTGCAGAGGCCAACCCAGCTGCTGGGGACCCTCGGCTCCTCAGGCGGGCTGAAGACCGCACTCCATCTGTGAGCTAGACCAGACCAGAGGCTCCATCAGAAAACACACTCATGGAAAAGAAACACAGCATGGGGATTAAAACATCCTCACTACCGAAAACCCTGAGCAATATAAGATGGCTCTCATATTTTAACTCTCTTCCTCTCCCTATTTTTATCTTTATGGGAAGACTCTTATGTCCTAAATATGCAAATTCAAAGCTCTCTCTAGATCTAAGACACAAGATCTGCTCTTTCCATGAAGCATGGGACAATTTTTCCCTTTAACATATATGTTTCTAGGAACCACCATTTGTGAGCTGCTACTAGGTGCCATGAAGTCAATATTTAACTCAGAGAGAAACCACTTGACAGGAGAACCTGTTTTCTAAGATGCAATCTACAGGAGCAGGTCTTTAGGTCATTCTCCCACAGAGCCACTGGATGGGTTCAAACTGCCAATATTTCAGTTAGCAGCTTAGCACTTAACCACTGCACCAACTGGGGAGCTCTGGTGGCATAGTGCCTAAGGCATTTGACTGCTAACCGGAAGGATGGCAGTTCAAACCTACCAGCCATTCCTTGGAAGGAAGGTTGGGCAATCTACTTCCATAGTGATACTGCCTTGGAAATCCAAGGAAGGGTCGCTATGAGTCGGGTCTGACTCAACGGCACATAACAACAACAACAGACTAACTTCAAAGGTGCTTAGAATAAGGAGCACATATCCTTCATCAGAAAGTTCTCAAACTTTTGGGACTGGAACCCTCCTTATACACTGCCGATGAGGCTATAAAATGGTACAATCTGTGGAAAATGGTGTGGCATTTCCTTAAAAATCTCAAACAAAATACCATATGATTCAGCAATCCCACTACTAGCTATATATCCTGGAGAAATAAGAGGTGTGACATGAATATATATATGCACACCCATGTTCATCACAGCACTGTTCACAATAGCAACATGATGGGAACAACCTAACTGCCCATCAACAGAGAAATGGATCAACAAACTATTGTACATACACACAGTGGAATACTACACAATGTTAAAGAACAATGATGAATCTGTAAAACATTTCATGGATGAACTCAGAGACATTATGCTGAGTGAAATGGGTCAATCACTAAAAGACAAATACTGTATGAGACCACTGTTGTAAAAAGTGAAGAAAAAGGATTAAAAAATATATTATTGGTTACCAGGGGTGGGTGGGTAAAGAAGAATAAACCACTAACCAACTACAGAATACCAAACAAAAAACTCACTGCTGTTGAGTTGGATCTGACTCACAGCTACCCCTCCTTGGGTTTCTGAGGCGGTATCTCTACGGAAATAGATCGCTCAATCTTTTTTCCGAGGAGTGGCTGGTGGGTTTGAACCACCAGCTTTCTGGTTAGCAGTCAAATGCCTTAGACACTACACCATCAGAACTACAAACCAAAAAAAAAAAAAAAGATAAAATGATTACACATTAAAAAAAGTTTTCAAACTTTTATTATGGTATCAAAGTCCTTGACAAAAGGTAAAATGAAAAACAAAAGCCAATCCCTCTCATACCCCTTCCATTAAATTACTGGAAGACAACAAAAAAAATCTGCCCACCTCTACTTTATTCTGAATACAAAGAAAAGTTTTCTACTAAAGAGAAACAAATAATAAAATTTAAAATAAACTTTATCTTGAAATAAGTTTAGTTTTGCAGAAAAGCTGCAAAAGCAGTATAAAGAGTTCCCATATACATCTCACCTAGCCTCCCCTAATGTTGATAGAACCACAGTGCATCTATTAAACTAAAAAAATTAACATTGGTCTCATACTATTAACTATACTATATACTCTGGTAGCATAGTGGCTAAAGCACTTGACTGCTAACCAGAAGGCTGGCGGTTCAAACCCACCAGCCACTCCTCGGAAGGAAGGTTGGGCAATCCTACTTCCGTAGTGATACTGCCTCGGAAACCCAAGGAGGGGTCGCTATGAGTCGGGGCCGACTCGACAGCACGTAACGACAACAACAACATATACTTCACTTATATTTTATTAGTTTCTATTAATGTCCTTTTTGTGTTCTAGAATCCAGTCCAGGATACCACATTGCATGTACAAAATAAAACATTTTAAAGCTCAACTTAAAATTTGGAAAAATATTAAAAGTGAATAGTAAATATATTACATTTATTTGGGAAATCCTCTCTGCTCCTCCAATAAACTGGTTAAAAACTGGATGTCAAAGCAAAAATGTGATTTCCCAAAAGGGCTATAAGAGATCAATTTCTGGCATGACAGGATGAGTCGCTCCACTGGCCTGTTCTACAGTGAAACCAGTGAAAAATATAGAAACAACAAAAATGAAAATCTAAAGCTGGTGGAAATGATTTTAAGGGCAAACAACAAACGAGGAAATAGCTATTCAAGGAAATCTGTATTCAGTAAGAAAGGCAAGTTTCTGGTATTTGAACAAGATTGCACCATCCCCTCCCTGCCCCAGCTCGGCAGGCTAATGCCACTTTGGAAGGCTGCAGTCAAGCATGTGGGCTACTTTTTCCACCGGAAGATATTCTCTCTGGGAGGAGCAGGACCTGTTTCTCATCCTGTTCCCAGCTACCTGTTGCTGAGGCTAAATCTTGGGCAAGTACAGCACAGAGGTGCCACCCACTCGTGGAATGGAGGTTCTATGTTGGGGTGGTGCTCTGAGAAGACTGGGGCCCCAACAGCCTTTGTCCTACTCATGAGGGAGTGGTTCAGAGAAGCAAACTGAGAAGACCTCAGGCTGCTCCCTCACAACTGAGGCACAGTGCCTAGAATGGGTGTGTGTGACTCAGAGAAAAATAATTTCTCCATCTTTACATAGATATAAGCGAGTAATTTTTAGCAAAACTGTCTTAACCAAGAGGATGGTTGGTTTACATTAGACTCATGGGGAGCACAGGCTACTACCATGGAGGCAGTGCCAAAAGACTTGCTGTGGGTGCAGTCTCCTGCACCTGCGCCCCTCCCAGCTGGTGAATGAGCTCAATGTAGGCTGCGGTCCCTGGCAGGGGCAGCACGTGGTGTCTGTCTGTAGTCTAGTCTATATGTTATGTCCCATGTGCATTGCTGGGTGAGCAGCCTGGAGAGCCCTGGTGTTAATATTCCTGCTGTAAGTCGAGGGTGTCACTAGGAAGCCACTGGTATAGAGGACATCAGCCATGCATGTATGCCCTGTGTAGCGGAGTGGCTCACCGGTGCATGGCAAACTGAAGACCACTGTAACAACACCTCAATGGAAGTGGACATTTTCTTCTAACTAATCCCTTTGTGCCTAAGGCATTTGACTGTCAACCAGAAAGCTGGCAGTTCAAACCCACCAGCCACTCTTCAGGATGACTGGGCAACCTACTTCTGTAGACATACTGTCTCAGAAACCCAAGGAGGGGTTCCTATGAGTCGGATTTGACTCGATGGCAGTGAGTTTTTTTCCAATCCTTTTGTATTTCTGTTTCTTGGTCACTGCCTTCAGCCCCTGCCAGGGGAGAGAGCCCAGGCTGAAGTACATTAATACACCGCTGAGGAACTCCAAATCATCGTGTAAAGATTGTTTGATTCCAAGGTTGGTATTGATGGAGGTGTATTGTGTGGTCCTGGTGAGGTTTTTGTTCTCACGTTAAGGGATGTGCTAGTGGGTCCTGGCATCCTGGTACTTCTTGATAGCCCAAAGTTTATGATGTAGACCAAGTTACCCTTCTTACCTAGCCACACAAGAAAGTCATCTGGCTTCATGTCTTGGTGGATGAAGTTTTCTGAATGAATGTACTCAATACAACTGATCATTTGGTTGGTGAGGAGGACAGTTTTGAGACTAAACTTCCTCAAGCAGAAGTTGAAGGGGTCCTTCAGGCTTGGTCTCAACAACTCCATCACTATGACATTGCATTACCCTTTGCCTCACACCCTGATGGTGGGGATCCCCATGCCCCACTGCATCATCTGGTAAATCTTGCTTTCCAGGTGGAGCTAAGGGTGTTTGGTTTTCACACATTCAACGAAAACTTCTTCTCCTGCAGCAATGTCCATACCAAGATGTTTGCTGTTTGGTGTTATATGCCGTCGAGACAGCCCCGACTCATAGCGACCCCTCCTTGGGTTTCTGAGGCAGTATTCACTATGGAAGTAGATTGCCCAATTTTCCCTCCGAGGAGTGGCTGGTGGGTTTGAACCGCCAGCCTTCTGGTTAGCAGTCAAGTGCCTTAGGCACTATGCTACCAGAGCGCCATACCAAGATAGATGTCTCTAAAGGAGCTGCTGTCCCCAGCTCCAGAGCTCTGGCTGAGAGATGTTATTGCTTGGGGGGAGAAATAGGTCATAAAATATTTCCTAATCTCTTCTGAAAGGACTGAATCTTCATTTGAAACAGCAAAGAAGTTTAAACTTAAGGGCCCTGTGATAGTTAAGGTTGTGTGTCAACTTGGCTGGGCCATGATTCTCATTGGTTTAACAGTTATCATGTAGTCAGTCATTCCCCATGATGACATCTGATGTAATATAATCACCTCCATGATAAGATCTTCATCCATTTCAGGAAGTGGCATATGATCTAGAACCAATGGTAATGAAGGAAGAAGTCAAAGCTGCAATGAAAGAACTGGCGAAGAACAAGGCTCTGGGAATTGATGGCATACCGATTGAGATATTTCAACAAACAGATGCCCCATTGGAGGCAATCACTCAGTTATGCCAAGAAATTTGGAAGACAGCTACCTGGCCAACTGACTGGAAGAGATCCATATTTGTGCCCATTCCAAAGAAAGGTGATCCCACAGAATGTGAAAATTATAGAACAGTATCATTAATATCGCACGCAAGTAAGATCTTACTGAAGATAATTCAGAAACATTTGCAGCAGTATATTGACAGAGAACTTCCAGAGGTTCAAGCCGGATTCAGAAGAGGACGTGGAACAAGGGATATCATAGCTGTTGTCAGATGGATCTTGGCTCAAGGCAAAGAATACCAGAAAGAGGTTTACTTGTGTTTTATTGACTATGCAAAGGCATTTGATTGTGTGGATCATGACAAATTATGGATAACATTGAGAAGAATGGGAATCCCTGAGCACTTGATTGTACTCATGAGGAATCTGTACCTTGACCAGGAGGCTGTCGTTCGAACAGAACAAGGGGACACTACATGGTTTAAAATCAAGAAGGGAGTGCGTCAGGGTTGTATTCTTTCTCCACACTTATTCAATCTATATGCTGAGCAAATAATCCGAGAAGCTGGACTATATGAAGAAAAACATGGTATCAGGATTGGAGGAAGAATCATTAACAACCTGAGATATGCAGACGATACAACTCTGCTTGCTGAAAGTGAGGATGACTTAAGGCACCTACTGATGAAGGTTGAAGAATACAGTCTGCAGTATGGATTACGTCTCAATATAAAGAAAACAAAAATCCTCACAACTGGACCAATGAGCAGCATCACGATAAATGGAGAGAAGATTGAGGTTGTCAAAGAATTCACGTTGCTTGGTTCTACAATCGATGCCAATGGAAACAGCAGTCAGGACATTAGACGACATGTAGCATTGGGAAAGTCAACTGCGAAGGAACTGTATCAAGTGCTGAGGAGCAAGGATATCTCCTTGAGGACTAAGGTGCACCTGACACAAGCCATGATATTTCCAATCGCCTCATATGCATGTGAGAGCTGGACAATGAATAAGGAAGACCGAAGAAGAGTTGATGCTTTTGAGTTGTGGTGCTGGCGAAGAATGCTGAAAGTACCATGGACTGCTGAAAGAACTAACAGATCTGTCCTGGAGGAAGTGCAGCCAGAATGCTCCTTGGAAGCAAGAATGGCCAGACTTCGTCTCACCTATTTTGGTCATGTTGTAAGAAGGGACCATTCCCTGGAGAAGGATGTCATGCTTGGTAGGGTGGAGGGTCAACGAAAGAGGGGGAGGTCTTCAACGAGATGGATTGACATGGTGGCTGCGATGATGGGCTCAAGTATAGCAGGGATTGTGAGGCTGGCGCGGGATTGGGCAGTGTTTCATTCTGCCGTGCATGGGGTCGCTATGAGTAGGAAACAACTCGACGGAACTTAACAACAACGATAAGATCCACTACAAGCAAGAGAAGGAGTTTCCTCTGGGCTTTGGCTTAGCTTTTTTTAAATCTGGGTCTTGCATCTGATTCACCGTCATCTGACCTCTGGCTCTTTGGACTTTAGCAAGTGGCCTGCCATACTGCCCGCTGATCTTGGGATTCATTAGCTTACAAAGCCTCTGAGCTAGCAGTCAGCCACCTTATCTGCCAATCTTAGATTTGTCAACCTCTACAGCCTGTGAGCCAGCAGCTTGCCATCTGACCTGCTGATCCCGGGTTCATCGGCCCCTGCCTCTACTTGAGACAAGCCTCCAGCCTGATGTCTGACCTATAGACTTGGGATGTGCCAGCCTCTACAACCTTGTGAGCCATTTCCTTGAGATAAATCTCTCTATATACATAGATACACATATATACGCTTCACTGGTTTTGCATCTCTAGAGAACGCAGCCTACAACAGGCTCTCTCAAGTGGATACTGTGGGAAAGGCAACAGGGAGGAAATTCAGGGTACAGATTAAACTGTAGGCCAGCTAATAGGGAGGAGCCACCCTGAGGTCAGAACAAACAGCAAACACTGATCTCAGACACTATTCTTTAAAAGGAACTAGAATTTTTTGGATTAGTGTATAGAGCAATTCATACCTCAGGATGTTTTTGAAAACAACTGAGCAATTAGTTGGCAGCTGTTGTTAGATGCCATCCAGTAAGTTCCAACCACAACAACTACATGTACCACAGAATGAAACACTGCCCAGTTCTGTGCCTATTTTAAGGCCACTGTTGCAGCCACTGTGTCAATTCATCTTGTTAAGGGTCTTCTTCTGTTTTGCTGACCCTCTACTTTACCAAGCATGATGTCCTTTTCCAGGAACTGGTTCTTCCTGATAAAATATGTCCAAGGTAAGTGAGATGAAATCTCGTCATCTTTGCTTCTAAGGAGCATTCTGGCTGTACTAATTTCAAAACACATTTGTTTGTTCTTCTGACAGCCCACGATATAGTCAATATTCTTCACCAACACTGTAATTCAAAGGCACCGACTCTTCTTTAGTCATTCTTATCCACCGTCCAACTTTCACATGGATATGAGACAAGTGAAAATACTATGGCTTGGATCAAGTACACCCTAGTCCTCAAAATGACATCTCTGCTTTTTAACACTTTAAAGAGGTCTTTTGGAATCAGTAATTAAAAAACCAAACCCACTGTCACTGAGTCAATTCTGACTCACAGCTACCTTTTAGGACAGAGTAGAACTGCCCCCAGAAGCTGTACATCTTTACTGCAGTAGACTGTCCCATCTTTCTCCCATAGAGCAGCTGGTGGGTTCAAACTACTGACCTTTTGGTTTGTACTCAAAAGTTTTAACCACTACACCACCAGAGTTTAAAAGGTGGGTATAGTCAGGGAAAGCATGAAGAGAGACCCATCAATACGATTAAAGAATTTTCTTTAGTATTTCTCTAAGGCAGGACTGCTAGCAACAAACTCTTTCAGTTTTTATTTGCAAAAGTCTGTTTCACCTTCATTTGTAAACAATAGTTTTGGGTGACTGCTGGCATACCCAAAGCTACACATCCCCAAGGAACAACATAAAAAACTTAACACTCTGGGAGGGGGGGTAAATAGATTTCATTAAAAAAAAAAAAAAAAAAAAAAATCCAGGCAGTCACTAAACAAACAAAACAAGTAGCAGTAATAAGCCCATGTGGGGGGGGGGGGGAAGAGTACCAAGAGTTGCTACATTAGATTATCTAAAATGCCCAGTTTCCAACCAAATGGAGACATACACAAGAGAAAAAAACAAAAAAACAGAAGTTGCTGTTGAAAGTGACTAAATGTCAAATTCAACAGAAAGACTTCAAAGTAGCCATTATAATACATTAAACAAACAAAAACCCAAAGGAAACTATGATTAAGGAAATAAAGACATGATGACAATGTCTCATCAAAGAATATCAATAAAACTAACTTGAAGATAGACTGATAGAGACTATGGAAGCCAAAGAACAGAGAGGAAAAAAATGACCAAAAATGAACACAGAAAAAAAAAAAGATGACAATGAAGAGAATCTCAGAGTACTGTGGGACACCATTAAGCTTACCAACATATGTGTAAGTGGAGAAACAGAATGTGTATATTTCAGAGAGAGAAAAGACCAGAAAGAAAGAAAGAATGGCTTAAAAAGTCCCAAATTTACTGAAAATTAATAACCTACACATCCAGGAAGCTCAATAAACCCCAACTAGGATAAACAAAGAGATCTATAGACATATCATAGTAAAAATGCTGAAAGTCAAAGACAAGGAGACAATCTAGAAAGCAGCAAGAGAAAAAAAGACTCATCATTCATAAGGAAACCTAGTAGGAGTAACAGCTGACTTCTCAGCAGAAACACTGATGGCCAGAAGGCAATGGGACAACATATTTAAAGTACTCCAAGGGAAAAAAAACAAACCCAAGAACCAAACAACTGTCAACCAAGAATCTTAATATCCAGCAAAGCTATTGTTAAAAAATGAAGGTGAAATAATACTTTTGCAGATAAACAAAAAGGGAAGGACTCTGTCACTAGCAGATCTGCCCTACAAGATATACTAAAAAAACCTCTTCAAGCTGAAAGTGACACCAGACCATACTTCAAATCCGTATGAGAAAATAAATAAATAAAACAGCACTAAAGATGTATTATTATAAAAGTTTAAATGCATATTGTTTCGCTTTTCTTTCTTTAAGGACCTCTAGGAGCTCTGGTAGCATAGTGGCTAAAGCACTTGACTGCTAACCAGAAGGCTGGCGGTTCAAACCC